GGTATGACGATACTGTGTGTTAAGAGAGGTGTTCTGTGCTGTTTCTCTTGCAGAGGGGTATTGTCACATTGGTGCTGAAATGTCTCCTTCAGACAGGCAGTTGGTAAGCAGTTTTGAAATCTACCTGGGTGCCTTTTCTTTGTAAAGAAGACAAAAGAATCAGACCCAAGAGGGCTTTAAGTTTTGCGTTTCGTTAGTAAGAAGGTTTCTGCTGGCTGCCCGAGCTAAAAGCTTGAGTTCTCTGCGGCTACAATGGAGTCTTAGACAGAGAGGCTTCCTCTTAAAAAGCAAAAGACGCTGATTGTTTCAGTCTTTATTTCATTCTTCTGAATTGGAGAGAGACAGTTCATGACAATTGTAACTATTTGCGGAACTGCTTTGCCAAAGGGTGTATTTATGGGATGCTACCTTTATTGGAACAATTAGTGGTTAAATTACACATTATCTTGTTAAGTATTTCAATAGAGTTATGCCAATTCTTCTTTTTGTTGTATTTCAACTGTGTTGTAAGGATAAAATGTGTTTTGACTCATACTTAGTTACAGACAAATCAAATCATATCTAGAAAACAGCACCTTACATTTGATTTTTAAAAAGTACAAAAGGTAGGGCTTAGGCCATTTCTGTAACATACTTTGGGGGATCTCTGGTCTGGTCTTTAACATTAATGTGAACCTTCTCGGATAAATGATACAGGTGGTTGCTGTTCATGGAGCATGCCCTGAGATGCAATATGGGTGCAATCAAATAGATGAGAGTGAAAACAAAATCACTGCTACACAGCTGTAAAATAAAGGTGTGTTGAATCATGTTAAAGAAAAAGCTGGGGTGAGGAAAGGGACAAGGCTAGAAAACAACCTACAACCATCATTACAGAAGTTTTATGACTTTGGTAAGGGCTATTTTAGTGCCGTAGCAGGTGTAGAAGTCATGTCCAAGGAATTCAAGGAGGAAGTTATTGGAAACAAGTGTATAAATTTGGTAAACAAAGAAATAGATGGGAGTTTGAGCAGGGTAGACATTTTCAAATAAGTGGTCTGTTAGACTTGAGTACTAACAACTGAGATGTGACTTAATTGAGCTTTTATGAAAGTTTTGAGGATTAGATACAGAAAAGGTATTTCCTCTCATACAGGAATCCAACAGTAGGCAGAATTATTGCAGATTTGAAGGTAGGTTCCTCAGGACTGTGAGCAGAAAGCACACTGTGTCATTCACAAAGCTGAGATAAGAAACAACAATTTAAGTTTTCAAGGCTGAGATTATTCGATTTTTAGTGGTTGATCAATCAAGATCAAGGGGCATTTAGATGAAAGAAGATCCTGATTAACTATGATGTAGCAATGGAAAAGGCTTCAGGATCTGAATGGAGAACTCTTGTTCCTATTTTCATTAAAACGTAGTATTCAGGAAATAACTTGAACATGCTTTTCCTTTGACATGATCAAAATCTGCCATCATCCTCACTATGGAAAACTGAAATGTGGGCTATCTTTGAAAACTGAATAAAGACACAAGTTCAATTACTGAAAGGCGACATTAATACAGAGAGTGATCAGCACTTAGAATGTACTCTGAGTACAGTGGTGGGGGACATATTGGAATCATGAAAGAGAATGCAGGATACTGCAATATGGAGGGGCAGAGGCAAAGTGAAAGTTTTTCTGAATGGATAAAATCTTTCAAATTTAAGTTTTGTCAAGTAATGATATAATTCATCAAGTACCTTTGAACTAACTCATCTGGTTATTGCAGGAAGTTAAATGGCATCATGTGACATTATGAAGCAAAAATCGAAAATTAGGATGAAATAAAATGCAGTTTTACATCAAACAGTTCTGTAAATTGCTTTATATCTCAAATGTTCCTCCAAGCATTCAAGAGCTGTGTTATCTACATCAGGATCAAATTTGTTGGCAAAGAGGTGATGTTGTTGCACGATCCAGTGAAGGTCACCAGAACCGAAGATGCACACTGCATGACGGTGTGTTCCTGTGCACTTGGGATAAGGGGCACCTTTGGTTATATCCCCTTCCATGTAGGACCACTTCACCATGCGGGCAATGGCTGCCATATCTGACATGTGGTACTTGCTATTGTGGGGGTTGGAACCTGGGACAGTAGGAATTCTCTGCAGAGTAGCCCAAACATGCTCATCGGGACTATATGTATCTTCTGCCCACTTCAGAAATTTCTGGATTTCAGGACTCTGAAATAAATGGTTCACAAATGCCCTGGAAGCCACGAAGTATGCATTCCCAGTGAACATCGGAGTACTTATTGGAGGTGAGGTCTTCTTTTCCTGAGTTCTGCTTATTTGATTTTTAACTTCATGATGAAAAAGCCACCGTTCCTGTAATTCAAGAAAAGTACACTTGAGGAGGGAGATCAGAATTGGCCAGGATATCAGCAAACAGGGAGAGAGGAATCAAATCATTTCAACTAAATGAAACCTGATTAACAGAAGAGGAAGCATTTGCAGGACTAGCTGATTTGCTGTTGCACAGAGCTGGCACTGTAGCTATTTTATGATTGTATAATTTTAATGCTTAAAAAAGGGACAGATTTTTCAAAATTAAATTTTCAAAATGCCCATTTGCTGTCACCAGTTTTACACTGCAGCAAAATGTCAAAATCTAATCGCTTTGACTGATATCGTCATGTAAAGCAGTTTATGGATTATCCAGCAATTACAGGCCAGTCAGTTTAACTTTGGTGCTTGGAAGCTTCTAGAATCAACAATTTTGGGCAAAATTAACAGATACATAGATAAATGTGGTTTGATTAAGAAAAGCCAGCATGGATTTGTCAAGACAAAATTGTGTTATTTGAAATAGTAACAGAGAGTCTTGCTGAGGGTAATGCTCTTGATATGGTATACAGGAATGTCCAAAAGGCATTTGACATGGCGCCACACAACAGACTTCTGAACAACGTTAGAGCTCATGTAATAAAAGGGACGGTCACAACATGGATATGGAATTGGCTGTGCGACAGGAATCAGTGTAAAGATGAATGGATGTTTTACAAGGTGGCGGGATGGTTTGTAGGTGAGTTGGTCAAGGATCAATGTTGGGATTCCTTTTTTTTAATATATATTAATGACTTCAATCTTGGGACATGGAGCACAATTTCAAAATTTGGATAGAGTGTAAACTGTGAAGACTGGTGTGTTGAACTTCAAACGGGCATTTGGGAATCAGCCTTAAGTATTCATAAGAATTCGGACTCCACAGTTGTATTTGGCAGGGAGCGTTAAAGACACTCCAACCTCTGAGAGAAGAAATTCTTGCTCATCTCAGTCTTCAATTGGTGCTTCTTTATTCTGAGACTATGCGCTCTGGTCCTAGACTCCCCCATGTGGGGAAGTAACCTCTCAGTATTTACCCTGTCAAGCCCCTGTCAATCCACAGGACTCGAGGTGTGTTCTCACCCGCACCTTATATAGTTGCAGTCAGACTTCTCTCCTGTAATACTCCAACTCCCTTGAAATGCGAGTCAACATTCCATGAGCTTTCCTGATTACCTGCTGCAGCTGTGTGCTAGCTTTCAGTGTTTGTGTACAAGTACCACCAAAGTCTCCCCTTGTGTTGCAGCTTTATTCAGGCTTTCTCCATTTAAACTATACTCTGCTCATGTTTGTTTTTCTTACAAAATGAACAATTTCACATTTTCCCACATTATCCTCCATTTGCCAACATTTTGCCCATTTTCTTAACCTATCAATGTCTCTCTGTAAACTGTATCCCTCTGGCAGCTTGCCTTTCCACCTAGTTAACTGCAAATTTTGCTCCAGTACATTCGTTTTCTTTCTCCATGTCATGACTATATACTGATGTGATATCCCTCACTAACGTCCTCCGCTCTCTTCCTTCGAACCAAACTCTGCACTAATTTCTATTTTCCTGCTGCAGTTTCCTAATTTGTCTGATCTCATCTCAAGAAGGACCTGTCTGTTTTTTGTTGGAATTGTAGACATGTTGTTGGAATGTTGCCGGGCAGGACCCAACCCTCTCTCTGTTGACATGGTGCTCCATGACAGGAGCGGAAATGTTCAATGGAGATTCGTTGGTATCAGTTTGGGATTGCAGTGTCCTGGCTGAAACTTCAATTACAGTAAAATAAAACAACAACACTGGGCACATTCAGATGAAATTAGGGAGTATATTCGTAAATTTTTGAGGTTGAACAATGCACAGTGATTTTGCAATGTGTTTGAGAGAGATGTGAGCGAGGACTGATGTGTCCTTTCAGTCGGGTGGCTGTCTTTCATTTGGCTGAAAGCGGAGGACACTTTGAGCAAATCGGCGACTTACCCGTTTGGATGCTGAGGGCACTTCGGATTCCATGCTGTTTTTCCCATTCAGGACAATGAGGTTTCTGACAATCTCTGCATTTGTTTTAAGCGGGAAGTCCATTCCGCAAAGGTTAATAAAATATCTCCAGCGGACTGGGTTTTGGAGCAGCTCTTCCATACAGTTCAGGTCAGCTTGTACCCGCGACCAAGACGCGTAGATCACATTCTCCAACTTGCTGGCAACGAAAACATTGGAGAAACAAGAGGCAATAGCTCTCACAGCGAGATGAAAACTGTCTGCAGCTTTCCGATCCACGTGGATACAGTACACATTTTGCGGAGTATAAATGCTCCGCAGCAATCTTTCAAACATTTCTATGTTCTGATGAATTACAATGGAGTAGGCGATGGGAAAATTCCTCTCTTCCTTGCTCAGTGCGAAGTTTAGGTACTTGCGCTCCTTTTTAAATGCAGCACAGTCCCGTGTCATATTCCAATAATGTTTTTCAGTCAAAGGCGTTTTACCACGTGTAACATCAATAGCATTTAAAAGAGCTTTTTCAACTGCAGTCTGATCTCCTCCAATAATTCGCGAACAAATCGGCTGTCGAGCAGACAGATTTAGAGTTTTGTAAAAATTATCCAAGCACCGTCTGTTACCCACATCGATGGAATTTTCCCAAATTCCCCGCATCACATCATCCTCACAGGATTGAAAATTCCCAGTAAGTAGAAATAGAAGTCCCACCAGTGCAGTCCCAGTGGTCAAAATCC